ACTAAATAATATATATAAACTAAATATAATATAAAATATAGATGCTTCAAATCACATAAATGTTATATGTTTGATATGTATAACATTTCATACAGTAATTATTCAACTAATTAAATTACAGCTTCCTTATTAATTTGGTTATTAGATTCGATTTTGTAATCCTGTGATCAGAAATAGATAATTTATACCTCATTAGAACTGTCTCAATAAGCTGATTCGAATAGTGGTAAATTCATCGAATTCTGTTTAGTAGTTCAAGAGTTATAGTTATTTTTGTAGGTTAATAATAGTTTTATAAAAACTATTATAAAAAAAATATACAACTAGCTATATATGTAACTTTTTTATATTATTTATTTAAGAAGTCTGACTATGAGTTTTCTACTAGTTGCTATATTTAACACTTTTAATTAGATGTTTTATTTAAATTCTTTAAACTTATAATTTGTGTTAACTTCATTAAGTTATCCTAGATTTTTGTTTCAATCTTCAGACTAATTTATTCTCAAGATAAACTTTCTGAAATCTTCTATATTCTTATTTACAACTGACCCAAACTCACTATAGCTAAACTAATACTTGCAGTTAGAAATAATTATTAAACTACTATACACTTATAAAGTTTATACAATCTTAGTATTCTTTTTTATAACCTTACTAATACCTTATTTATTTTTGCAAATTCTTCTATATTATTAATTAATTAAGCTTTGTATAATATAACTTTATATTCAAATTAACTAATAACAAGATTGGTAAACTTTTTTTACTTAAAGGTTCTTGCCTGTACAAATTACTTGTTTAAATTTTCTTTAGATCAAGATTTTTACAAATAATATTATCAAAGATTATACTACTTCTTTATTTAAGATTTTTAAATAGAACTTCTTATAGAATATATGCTTTTCAAATTTATTCATATAACATTGTATACTTTTAAAGCCAGTTTTGATATATCCAAAATTATAGAATTACAACTTCAGATATCTTGTTCAAGTTGTTAAAATAAGACCATTTTTCAAAATTCTATTACTAGTAAAATTTGAACTTTGGATCTACTGTTTGAAGAATGACAATTTAACCATTATACCAAAATTATTATCCTCTTATAAATACATATTTTATTAACATCTTTTTGATCTTATTTAATAATTTGTTAATATTTGATGTTTAGAAGAAGTTTTAAAAAAAGTTTATAAATGCAGATATGAAAATATATGAAGATAATCAAATAACTAAAATTCAAACATCTGTTTAATTTTCTGAAGAAAAAAAAATGAAAAGATATAAGTTACATATTAACATAATTATAGAAAAAATATATATATATTATATAGCTAAAAAAAAAAGTAATACAAATCTGCTACTGATTTATTACACAACTAGATGTGTCATTAAATCAAGTTTTTAGTATATAAAATAATGTTATTTTAAACTAATTTGCTTTTAAAACATAAAATGTTATATAATATAATATATAATTTGCTATTTCTATTATGTCAAATTTAATTACTTTTTACTTTCTATATATACTTATAACTGTTTTCATTTTTATGCAAGTAACTCTATTGATAATGTAAAATATATATATATTAATTAGTGTATGAATTCTATTTGTAAAGTGAAAAGCAACATAAATGCAAGTAAAAAGTTATAAAGTTCTTATATCCTATGTATTTTCATTAGAAAGACTGAAAGAAATCATAAATCATCAAAGTTTTTAAAACCAAGGTTTTCTTTTTATATTAAAAAAAAACAAGCGAAGATACATTTGTGCTTAAAAAAAAAAAGACTATTACCACTGAGTGACGAATATTATGACCAGTATGACTTGCTGCTTTTAAAACCAAGTTGTATGTTGTAATTAATTAGAAAAAAACGCAAAAAAAAAAATTTGCCGCAGGCCCTAGTCATATGGTATCAATTTATGTGACTACCCAGCTTTAACTCATGTGACTACCCGGCTTTAACTCATGTGACTACCCGGCTTTAACTCATATGACTACCCGGCTTTAGCACATGTGACTACCTTTTTCCGGCACGTGATTCTAGCCAATTAAATTGAAGGATCAAGTGTAACGTGAAAATCACGTCTTTTTAAAAAATCGCCATTAACTCGAAATTTTACCTATAAAACTGCCTTCTGCGTTCTAATAAAAAAAATTCCTCGTGAAATTTTAGCATAAGCTATGTCCTTCCTCATCCCTTATCCTAACCTTAAGATGATGCTTCTTACTTTAAAATCTTTCGCTTAATTCGATTGTTTTGATTTTACGTTACACCTGATCCTTCGATATAATTGGCTAAAAATCATGTACCGGAAAAAATCTTGTGGGTGAGCTACTATTAATTCTCAAGCTCCTGGCTCTAACTCTTGTGGCAAGTGCCACACCAGTCATTTAGGGTTAATACAAGCCACCGCCACTGTGGCCGGTAGTCATGTGACTATCTGGCTTTAGACGGTCCCCAAATTTGGATAATGCAGATCACACTTTTTTTTGTACAATTAAAAAATTCTTGATACTTTTATTTAAGCCTATAACTTATTTAAAATTATCAGCATGATATAATAGAAGGTTTTAAAGTTAACAAATAAGTGGCGCATTTTGAAATTAAATGAGAGTTTGAAAAATCTTATTTTTGTATTTCGAAAATTTAAAATCTGAAATGGAATTGGTGTGCCTGAAGAACCCATTTAACGAAATAAATAGATTTTTCAAAGACAAAAATCATCATTTCAAATTATTAGAAAATGAAATAAAGTTGATACATCGCTCATTGTAGGGATGGGCAAATTGAAAAATTTTAAAATACTGCACGGAACTGTATTGCTAAATTTCGAGGTTTCCGGCATATTCAAACCTTCCGAAATATTCCGCTTACGCAGCGATTCATTTGAAAATAAATCTGCAACCAATTTCAATTAAAATTAGAGTTCAGCATTTTAACTTTGGTACACTTTAAAACTAGGGTTTGAGGGATAATAAGAGTGCTGCCAATGAAAAACCTATCATCGGATATTCGATTATATTTCGTGTACAATTAGCCGTCTATGGAAAATATATCATGACGATAGATTTTCTACAGACGGTTAATTGTACACGAAATACAATTAAATGTCTGATGACGGGTTTTCTCTCATAAAGGAAATTTTACAAAAAGGGTTGTACGACACAAAGGGTTGTTTACTTTGTTTTTACTGTACAAGTCGAATAAGCGTGCTAAGTAAACAAATACCGGAATCATTTTAATTTTAAAATAAGGAAACCTCTATAATAAAAGGGTTTCAAAGCAACGTTTGAAACATTAATTAATCTTTTCACAAACTTAAGCAAACATATATTATTTTTTTTTCTTATTTTTAGTATGTTATATCGCAAATGCTGGTTTAAAATCGGATTTTGAGTCTACTAATTGTTTTTAACCAGTAAAAAAAAAAAATCGATTTCGTTGTTGTTATTTCTTTTAGCAATTAGTTAATTTTGTACGTGTTATTGGACGAACTTGGCATAACTACCAAGATTATTTGCGTAAAGAGTCTAAATTATTTGTTAATACATATAATTTAAATTGCTGAGTAACGTTCATATTTCTAAGTACTGATTATGTAAATCAATATGCTAGCGGGAGTTCGTTTTATTATGTCAAATATAGTCTCTTATTTAATATAAATCTACTTTTAGATATGGATTTAAGCGGGCTCATATTAGCTAATAGAGGTATGTCATGATATTTCTCTGTAAAAATAATTACTATAAACATACAATCTTAGTACCTACTATGATTAGTGATGGATTCATACAATAAATCAGGAAATTGGCCTTTTATTTAAATGCATATTATACTGCATAAAGATATAAAATAGTATTATATAACAATGCTTTTAAATTATAAATAAAAAAGGACCTAGTGATAATAATGATGGTGCTTCTGCATTACGAGTGGGTCTAATTCCTCAACAATGTGGATTATTTTATTTTGAAACTATTATAGTAGACGCAGGAAATAATGGGTGATTGTTAAATGCTTATTACTCTATAAATAGAGTCGAAATTTTTATGCATAACTAATTAATAACTAATGACTTTGTTTATTAGAATTATTGGAATAGGATTTTGTGGGAATATAGTTAATAAACATGAAATCCCTGGTAATTTTGCCTCTCACATTTACAAATGATTTATTTATACATTTATTGAAAATCCATTATTAATAAACTACAATCTATTTTATAGGATCAGAGAACACCTCGTGGGGTTATTATGGAAGTAATGGAAAAACTTATTGTTGTTTAGATTATAACAGACCATATGGGGCACCATTTACAACTGGTGATATTATTGGATGCTACTTGAACTTTAAATTTAACACAGCATTTTATACTAAAAATGGTGTAAACCAAGGTAATTATTCTTTATATAATGCTAAATTTTTATAATTTACCAAAAGCTTGAAGTTATAAAATATATTTAGGAATTGCATTTCGGGATCTAGAAGATGTTATAAATCCTTGTACCTGGCTAAAATCGCAAAATGCAACTGTAAAAATCAATTTTGGACATGAAAATTTTAAATATGCGGGTGAATTTATTTTTGCTTTGAACATTTATAATCATTACACTTGGGTTCAATTTTAAAGTTATTTTATTAATATTTATCAATAGCAATGACTAATGATGACATTGATAATGAATTATTAAAGAACGACTGGATTGAACTAGTTAATCGATGCAACAATGAATTAGTAAAACCAATAGAAATTAAACTAAATAATACAATTTCATTATGTTATCGAGGGAAAGCTTATTTTGTTACGGGAAGATATAAAGAAGCAATTACTGATTTGACAAAAGTGTTAGAAATTGAATCAAATAATACATTTGCATTGAGATATCGAGGAGAAGCTTATCATATGATGGGCAGTTTTAGAGAATCACTTACTGACTTTATCAAATTATTAGAAATTAAGCCGGAAGATACATGGACATTAAAAGCTCATGAGGCAGTTGCGAGAGAGTAAATATATTTTAATCTTTTTCATTAGTATTTCATGAGAGCTTGCAATTAAATAAAATATTTTTTAATTTAATACAGCTTGTGAGTATAAAGTTCTTTCATTTTTATTGCAAATCTAACATTTATCAATTAATTCATTTATCAATTAAATATGTATTATCAGCTTGTAAGTAGCACGATAAAATAAAGATTTGCTATTAAATATTCATTCAATTAATTTATGTAAATTAATTAAAAGGCAGTAAGTAATATATAAATTTTGTTTAAATTTATTCGATTTTCAAAAATTGGCATTTTGTTGGAACTTATGATTTTTTAACACATTGAATTTAAGGGAGTGAGTATAATATTTATAGAATTAGACCTTCATTTACGTTGAATTTTCTTTAATCAATTATACAATCTTAAAATGTTAAACTAGATGGTTAGTACAATTTAGTAAGTTTATAAATCTACTGCTTTAAATACTTAATAATTTATATTTTTCTAATTTAAGGGAGTAAGTATAAATTAAGGATCTATCACCAAATTTTATTTCTTAAGCTAATACATATTTTTAAATGAAAGGGAGTATGTATAAAGGTTTAACTAATTAATTATTTAGAGTTTCAATTAATTAGCTGTTGTTTCTAATTAACCAAAATGTGCCGAATTATTGAAATATATATTAGTTTGTAAGTATGAAAACTATTATCTTATTTACGAACCAATATCTGATATTTAATTAACTTAATTCACGTTATTTATTAGCGAGTATGTATACATTTATGCAATTATGTTTTAAACCTATGTCTTATCGGATGTTTATATTGAATGTCATTTGTCCGCGCGTATTAATTACAAGTGTGTGAGTATAAAGCATATTTAGAGAAAGTTTATAATAAATATTTCTTTCTAATCGATTATTCATGTTAAAGAGAGTGAGTATTAAGTTTATTTATTTATTTTAAATAAATGATATTACATAAGGAACATTTAATTATAATAAATAAATTTTACATTACTAGTGTGTAAGTATTACATCCAATTATCAAATTCACTTCTAAAAAGTCCTAATGCATATTATATAAAATAGATGGTGAGTTTATAATTTAAATAAATATGTTTTATAGAATTTTGCTAAAATCTATATATTTAATCAAAGGGAGTACGAAATTTTAATTATATCTGATTCTAAAAAAACATGTTCGCATGAGAGCTGACATATGGTTTTAAATTTCATGCGTTTAAATTTTAAATCAGATGGTGAGTATATGGTTTAATTAAGAGTTATAAGATTAACCTTTGGGCATTGATCAATTATGTCTACGTTAAACTACTGTAGGTGGTGAGTATTATTTTATATTAATTATTCTTCATCAATTAATTTGTACCTAATCAATTAACATGTTTCATATTAGGTGGTAAGCATAGCTTAAATTACATTTAATTACGAAATCAGCTTCGTCAAAATTCCAAAAAAATAATTATGTATCAATCATATTACATAATAGGGAGTATGTATTAAATTTACTCATACTTAACCGTTTGGAAAAAATTCATTATTATTATTTTTTTTAAGTAAATAACATGAATTATTAGTGCGTAAGTATAAGATTTAATCTCATACGTTTAGAAAATAAATGGACCAACTTTTAATTAATTTTTGCATGCATACTTATATTACATAGATGGTAAATACACGTATATTAAATGGAAAGATTGTTTGTTGCATAAAAGCTATTATTAATTATTGTTTCTAATGATCATATATCTGCCTAATCAGGCCGTGAGTATAAATTTAAATATACTAATCTCCTTAACAAATGTTATTTATACTATAAATAATTACGTACATTATAAATTGAAAGAGAGTGAGTACGAAGTTAAAATTTATTCATTTATAGTTAGTATTTGATAAAGATTCCATTAACTCATAATTTTCTCATTTAAAAGTGTGTAAGTACAAAGTTCTTTCATACAATTATTAATTAATATTTACAAACTAATACGCATGATAAATTAAAGAAAGTATGTATAAAGCTTCGGTGCCGTTTACTTCGCCGACAGCTTATACTACTAACATCCCAATGCTCACCCTTACCCTAACGTCAAAGTTAATTTTTTAATCGAAAATGTGTTGACCGACATCACATAGGGTTAGGATTAGCATTTTATTATTTACTGGTATATATTTTTAGTAAATTGTCGCCTGGAGTGATGTCGGTTAAATGAGCTGTCGGTGAAATGATTGTCGGTGAAATAATACGGACTCATAAAACTTAATTATCTTTATTTTTTACCATAATTTTAATAATAATTATCATTTAAATTAGTCCGTGAGTATGAAATCTAGTTACAGAATTAATATTTACGACATCCCGCAAATTACTAACCTAATTTTTGCATAATCAAGCGAGTAAGTACAATTATAATTAAGGCAATTTATACTCATCTGATATTATCTATCCAAATAAATTATATTATTGATTATTACTTTTTATTCAACCAATTGCCAGAGAGTGAGTATAAAATTCATTCAAAATTTATCATATGACAAGAATTTATCATTTACCTGCATATCAAATAGGTGGTGAGTATCAATTTCAATCTGTGTGCATTTTTAAAATCAGCATTCTATAAATTTTAATATTTAAAATTAGGTGGTAAGTAAGAAGCCTAATTATGATAACTAATAAATTAGTATACAATATCATTATACTTAAAACTTCGTTTGCATTGAAGGAAGTGGGTATTATATTCATTTATATTAAATAACCTTTTATCAACTATTCCATTAACTAATCATGTGGTTGCAAATTATTAGTTCGTAAGTATTGTTAGCATTCTAAAGTAAGAATACTATAAGTTTGTATTAAATATTATTTACATAAAAACGACAGTTCGTGAGTATGATTTGTTTCTACTACAGTATTTCGTTAAGAATTAGTGTGATATTTAAGAAGAATTAAACCGTACCATTCAATACTATAAATTATAGTCAGTGAGTATAATATGTATATAAAAATCATCGTTTTAGAAATACTTTATCAGATTAGGTTTAATTAATCACATTAAATAACCAGAGAGTGAGTATATGGTTTGGTTTTTTAGTCTTTTCTTTTAGCATTTATATGATAAGGATTACAATTATATGCATTTTCAACATTAATTTAGTCGGTGAGTGCAACTTTGAACCAATTTATAAAAATTTCTTTAAATTAACACTAAATTAAATTGAAAGGGAGTAAGTATAAATTTTAAATTATGTTTAATCATCCAAATTTGTAAGCAAATATCACAATTATCTTAAATTACTAGGGAGTAAGTGTTAAGTGTCATTTATAGGTAATCAATAATAACTACATTATAATAATGACATTCTCTAATATAAATTACTAGTGCGTAAGTATCAATCTACAAAATGATTATGTTTTACAATCTCCAATAATCAAATGTGTTGAATTAGGCTGTGAGTATAGTATTTTGATTATATTCTCCTATAAAATTAATATGAAGAATTTACAATCCATTATTTAAAATAATTAGGTTGTGAGTATAAGATTCAATCATATTTACTGTATATATCCCTATAAAAAGCAATCTCTAATCAATATATATGACATAAATTACACAAGAGGGTAAGATAAAATTCCGATTACAAATTAACGTTCCTAAAAATTTCATAACGATAATGGATATTCGTTAATTACGTATTTTAGACGGTAAGCATATAATTCCTTATGTTTAGAGCTTTAAAACTATAACAAAAGAATAAGAAATCAACAAACTTATAATGCGGTAATTAAAATTTAAGGTCTCCTGGTAATGGAAAATGTACTGTTTGTAATCTATACAACACTACCCCTCGTTGGTGCCGGACATGTGATCCTAAATTTGCGACACAAGGATGGACGAGTGGTGTTGAAGAAATTGATGAACTTATTAAGGAATTCCAGCTTGAGGCCACAACGTATTCGAAATTAATTGAGTGGATTCCATTTGATAGATTAAAAGATAT